ATAAATGTTTCCTGATTCCTGATTCCTGATTCCTGAAAATGTTTTATTAAGAGACTTAATAAAATGTGAAGCCTCCTTTATTCAAATTAGACATTTATTGACACAATAAGGCAAGCAAAGGTGTTACGCATGCCATTCATGCTGGCTCACTGTTACATGTTGATGCAAAATATTATTACTTTAAACCTTTTGGCTTTTGAGATGAGCACAGTGCGTTATTTGTGACATATTGCAGTTCATATTACCATGATCTTCTCCAGTTAGTTCTTCCCCTAGATTGGTTTTCTTTAGAGGCAAATCATTTGAATCAAAACAATCATCATTTGAGGTCATAACGATCTGTAGCAGCAGCCTCAAAATCACTCCAATCTGCAGTCAAAGTAGGGTTGTAGTTCCAGCTTCGCCTCGTTGATCTCTTCACAGTTTTGACCACAGGCTTTGCAAATTTAAATTTCTGCCTCTATATTGGTTTAAGATGAACCACACCGTGACCAAGCTTTATCCCGGTGATAATCTACTCAGTATTGGACTGCCTCACCCACACAAGCCTAAATTGGGAACTAGTTTTTTCCTGTGCAAGAATTTATTCGGAATATTTCATCTTCCCTTTTTATCTTTGTCGGATGGCCGTTTATATTGCTCAGAAATGTATGTTCTGTATGATATCTGTATCCAAGGCAACCATATTCAACTTGAGGGCCAGCAAGAAAAAATAACATTTATAGACTGACTGAATCAATGGAATATCTATTAAGGAATACAGTTTGAGCATTTAAGAAAGTGTATTCTTTCCAGCAAAGCAGGACAGTGTTCACCAATGATGTGAAGCAGCTCATTAGGGCTGCAACTGAATTATTTATCATCTCCATTTGGGATTGGCAGTCAATATCACCTACTAAAGAATAACATTGAGCTGGGCTCCAATTTTGATTACATTTCTTCCCTTTTTGGTCCATAGAAAAGAAAGGTTTTTGAAACGGTTAAAGAACCAAAAATATATATAAATTCATTAGATGTTTTGTGCTGTAGGTCTGTGAAGTGGCGAGGACGGCACGTATTGTCCTGATGAAATGATGATCCACACAGGATCCCTTGGGACACTGGTTGCGCTCAGCAAAGACAGAGAAAAAAGATTATGCACGTTGTTGAATAGAAATTAGAACACTTTGCGTTATGCAAAATTCAGCAGTTTGGCTCTACTTGTCTGCATTGGTTTATGCCTCGCAAGATCAAGAGACGCCAGAGCTCTGCAGACTTGTGTGTAAATGTATTGTAATAAGAATGCAAATTGAATTTGAAGTTTTCCAAATAATTCAATAAACAATCTAAATAAGATCAAATATTTATTTCATTAAATTGACAGATGTCAAGTGTTTGTTTCTCTCAGCGCATCAAACCAACACAAAAGAACTAAGACCCCTCTGAAACAAACCGTAATGCATGTCCCTTTTCTGTTGGTCACCCTTTGTTCTACTTTAGAGTGCCAACATAACTGTTTCCATCTCATCCTGAAAAATATACACAAACACATTGCCACACAACCTTTTAGCACCAATAGCTTCAGAATAGATATTTCATACTATACTACGTCTTGAGGCTTCGATGAGATCAAGTAAATATGTACATGTCATTCCACTCATTCACAGGGGAAAGAGAGGGGCAAAATTTGAACGGCAACTCTGTGGTATTATTACAAAGTTACTGCCAATTACCCTTCTTGTAAACACAGAACAAATCCGATCAAATGTCCAGTTAAAATCAACCAAGATGATTGCTTTTTTCAAGAGCTCTGAAACAATCTTGTTAATCCATCCTAAACCTCAGATAATCAGGATGATTGTGCGTGGCCGTCCTACTAGGGAAAAGCGTTGATCAGCAAAACCATTATTTTCTAACAGTACAACGGCAAATAAACTCAAAGAAACTCCGCTGACGAGCTCCCAATATTCTCTGCATTGCCGACACTGTTTGTGTTTTCAATGTATGCATTGAGAAGGTCTTCTTCCAAATAAATTATTCCTTGTTGGCAGAATCAATGAAAGTCATTCTGATGTCATAACAGATCTTCGCAATTTCGAAAAACTCTCTCCCTATGAAATGCTAATCTAACTAATATCGGAACCGAAAAGCCTGACCCATGTAATCTTGAAAATGATCGAGCTAGCTCAATGAGCCACATACGAGGAACAGGGCTAAGTATTACTAAAAGTGCTGAATCAAGGCCTATCCTGTTATCTGTATATGTTTAACATTTTTTCGTTTTACCCATTTGTTAAACTTATAAATGCAACATTTTTGTGAGTTTTATGATAAGATAGTCCTCCATATGGACCCAGAGGTGGATCAAACCCAATAGTTCTAAATCATACCGTCAAAAAAAGAAAAAGATATCAACATTTGTCAAAAGAAGGGCTAAATCTCAACAAGCACTGACTCTCTAAGGAGAAAGCCAATTAGAGCTAGTGTTGAAGTAATGTTTGATGAAAAGCAACTTCTTCATCTGCAGCCTCTGGTTTGCCGGTTGGTGGCAAGAATGAAATGAGCGGTAATGGGCAGCAGAGGACAATGAGAGGTAAGAATATTGGTGACTACATATTTCATGAGGTTTGTTAATGACACTCATTTTTGTAACTTTACTATAGATCTATCTCCTAAGGACCCCTCCATAAAGAAGGCCCTTACACTTCAGCATTCACTTGAGTCTGTGTTGCTGAGGAAGTCTAAAGAAGGTGAGCAACTTCTGCTTAACGCTATTTGCTGTTTGTGTACGGCTCTGGTTCTTGACGACATTATGTGGTATTTACGTCTCCGATGCTTTGTCTGGCTCATGGTACTTTGATTTCATTCATTTTAATGTCTTCACTTCAGTCCAACTGGAAACTAATCAAGTGGAAGTGGCTGCATCAGCGGTCTACCTGCAAGCTGTTGAAAAGGCGCAGGGCGACAAGGGCAGCAGCAACACAGGCCAGAACAGCCCTCTAGACGATGGCGGCAAGGGCCAGAACGGCCCTCTGGACGACTACTCGGCAGGCGGCAACAACACTCTGGGCAATAGTTCCTCTTAAGACATTTCGGCTTTTACCTACTTTTAATCTCTGGTGTTAAATAAAACTGTCCCTGAAATTGCCGTTTCCCTGTTTGTTGTGTTGTTGTGCAAAACCAAAGAAGTAGACTTTGTGACTTGCAATGATTGGCCATGAACTTGTGTTGAATGGAATGGGCTCTTTGAATCCCAGGCAGTCTAGACTTATAGCAACTTACCTGGGGCTGACGAGTTCTCCAAAAGGCGTCTTAAGCCTAGTGTTGAATGAGGCCCCCTGGACTGACACTAATACAGGAAGTAATGGGATCCCTTTTCTCGGTTCTACTTCAATTGCGATGCAGTGACTTAGCCTTATTAGCGTGCCTGATTTTGATAAATCTAGACTTAACGAATTCTTAAACTGCTTAATGACTGAGAAAGGAAGTGCCTCAATTCAATTAGGTTGAAGGACACTCCCTTAACAACTCATTGTTTTGTGGATGCCATCTAGAGAAACTATTGCTGGACAATTAACTTTGGGTGCTCCGGGCGAAATAAAGCTTTTTTTGGAGTTTAACATCAGGTGAAGTAACAGGCTTTGATGTCCTTAAGACCTGCTTGAAGTACGAGCTGGTTGGTTTCCTCTAGCTTGATCAATCAATACATTAGAGTAGCATCTGCATAACAATGAAAGTTGAGGTTCTGATAAGACTCAAAACAAGCATATACGGTAAATAAAATTGGAACCATGTGGCTATTCGTAGTTATCGAGAGTTCATTGTTCACCAACATGAACAGTCTTCATAACTATTTGCACTGCTACACTGAATCATTTCTCTCCATGCTTAGTTTTGATTTTAAATTGCTTAATGTATTTGATATGACTTTTTTTAGATGCGCTAAACTAGCTTTTTGAAAACAGTTTTTGACTAGTTGAAACGGTTACCTAGTGGAGTGCATTCTGCCAGTATTGGTCCGATTAAAAGACAGTTCTGTGAAAACGCTGTAAAATGTCTTAATACGATAAACCAGAACAAGGTCGAGGGTGACTAGAACAATGAGTAGGCATCTGGGATTTGAAAGCGGCCTATTAAATGTAAGAGTGAGGCACTGTGGGTGACTACTCCCAGGCGGCAACAACGGTACTCTGGGAGAAGCCGGCTATCCCAGCGGCAACAACGGCACAGTGGGCGATGATTACTACGAAGTTCAAAACGGCACTGTGGGCGATGACTCTGCAGGCCAAAACGGCACTGATGGGGGCAACCCCTCGGCAGGCCAAAACAGCACAGCGAGAGACGACTACACTGTTGCCAGCAGCTTCACTCTGGGCAATGACAGCTACCCCGGCGGAAGCAACGGCACTCTGGGCGAGACCACTTCTACTGACGGTGATTGTCCACTAAGTGGGTTGAGTTTTGAGAAAAATCGAAATAGTTCATTCTAAATCTGCTTGTACCTACTTTTAATCTCTGCTGTTAAATAAAACTGACACTGTCAGTGAAATGTTTCCATGTTTGTGTGCAAAACTGAACACTTGAATGGGAGCGGGCCTTTTTGTATCCTAGGCCCAGCAATTTACCCAGGAGCTGCTCAGGGCTGTCTAAAATGATCAAAGAGGCATCTTGAGCCTAGTCTTAAATGATGAGGTGACTTTCTGCCCCCTGGACGCAAAATACAGGAGTAATATGATTCATTTTCTCAGTTCCCATTACATTGCGCTAACTTAAGACTCAGAGCAGCCTGAACTTCATTGGTCTAGAAATAAAATTCTTAAATATCAATTTTTTTATTATGTAGGTGAGAAAAGGCAGTGTTAAGCTTTATCAGGGACACATCCACTTTTTTTCTTTTCTTACAGTAAAGCTGGAGACAAGAGCAATCCATACCTTAAACAATCCATACATTAAACAATTGACTTTGACGGTGCTGTGGGCCAAAAATACTCGTAAAGGTATTGAACCGCAATACCAATTTGTAGTTCAATATTCCATATTTAATGCAAATATATTATACGCAGGTATTCTATTTAACATTTACTAGTACATTCCGTTATTTTCAAAACAAATATTGACATCTTTTTTTGGGGGATCAAGGAGGGACGCTTTAGGTGGGGCTACTCTATTGGCCCTCTACTGGCCAGCTGCCTGTCTCACTTTTCTCTTTCACGTTTTTTGTTGGTTGATCATTAGTAATGTTGAGCAGGTGCCTTCAAACAACCCCTCAGTGGTACCATGCAAAATTAAAAGTAGGATTAACCAAATTAGTTACACTGATTAATATCTATTCTACCAAGGACACAGACGCAGTCAGAAAAGTCAAACTTATAATAAAAGTGCAAGTCATTTTCATCACTGTCTTTAGTTGAGAACAAAATGATCTAGAACAAACATCCGTTTTGCACCAGAGATCCAGGTGCTGTGTTACCCACAGGGAGAAAGCAGTCAAAGATAAATACAACAGCCAAGGGCAGACAAACCTCTCATGACTGGGCCGTGTGTTGCATCCCTTATTTCATGATAACAACCTAAGCAGGTAGAGGATAACATACGCAGAGTGCTAAAGAATGATCGACTTTGAGTATACCACCCAGGTTCTGAATGGCTACAATAAATAGAATTATACTGTGATTAACTTCACCTAAGTTTGATTTAGTAGATATATAAACCATGCACACAGGTTGAAATAATCAGTCTGTGCTGTGTGTGACATGAGAAACATCAAGACCGACAAGATAATCTGTTTTTTTCATCTCCATCAGTACTATTAGAAGAAAATATCTTTATCTTATGCTAGAAAGCGATTTAAATAGGTATATTCTTTTTTAACCGCAGATGACATGCATTTAGCTAGTTGACGTCAAATGCCCTGACATATTTTCAGTCAGTGGTTTTGGCATTTCACAGGAAAGGGGGAAGGAAAAACCGATAATTTGGCGGAAATCATTTTTCTTTCTTGCCTTAAGTAGTTTTACAGTGAATTGACACACCTGAGAGGTTTGTGTAAACTAATATGATGAAGTACTGTAAGTCACCAATTACAAAAGACAGGTGTTGATTTTGGTCCATTACTGCTTCATATTTTGCTACATTGAATTGAATCACTCAATATATATGAGAATTAAAGGGTAATCTGGAGATACGGTATTGTACTTATAAGAGTGTAAAATAGTAATGTTTGAAATGCTAAATCAAAGCATCATTGACTCTAAGTCAATGCTTTCAGATGTAGTATAGTTTCAGGCTGGTTTTGTGTATTTGTAACTATTCATGGATACACTTTGTGTAAAATTAATACAAGTTACCTGTAGAGGTTCAAAGATGTTTCTAAGTAAAAATCCATGGAGCTAACATTAGCAACACGTTAGCACATCAGTAACTAGCATTAGCCCTTCTGTACTTTGTTGTTCACTGAAGATGCTGCTACTGCTAGCCCTAGAATCTACCCAGCTCAGCAGATGACGATTTGTTGGTTCCTTTTTTTCACTGTGATCTGTATGCTTTAGCTTGTACCGTATCATTTTCTTTGTGATCCTGGATAGATCCTTCACATGCCTTGTTGTGTGCTTCTCGTACCATTTTTCCAGTTTTTTCTTTTGGGAGTGCAGTTAGTGACACTGTGGGCTCCAACGTCGAAACAGTGTAGCAATGGGGGTGGGAAATACCAATGGGTCGGTACTTATCATGGCCTGAACAGTTATTATAAAAAAGTAAAATATCATTGACATATAATTTATGAATAAGTAGACATTGACGTTGCCAGTCCCCTCATTAGTAATAACGTGGACCTTGAATGTGAATTTGTTATATTACATTACAACATGTTATACAATAGATTATATTTGTTGATCCTTGGCTTTATTTGTATTCTAAGTAACATCTTGCTCAGTTAAAGAACATAGAAAACCAAACCAAGTCATGTTTTTTGGCTGACAGGCAGTTCTATCTCTGGCCAGTAAATTATTCATAGCTGTGGAGACTCAATCACAGGGTATGAAATCTGGCTTTACTCCACTGCAAATATGCATAACCAGTTTGGATTCCACATGTCTCTATATACAGTGTATATTGGCACAAAGCCAGTTATCTACATCTAAAAAAGCAATTAACCAACTCTAGACCCCCTGGTGGGATCTGTGTAAATTTCTCCCAACTCCTGCATGCAAAAGCTCTCAAACAACATTTTTTGAGAGGATAGACGGGTTACATAATGCATCAACGAGGCAAACCTTGCAGCTCGTCTCCTGCTGGTCCAGGTGTTAACTCAATAACGATGTAACAGCTTGGTTTCTACTCGTTCCACACAGAATTGAATCCATAGCATGATTAAACTGGACTGGACAGTGTTCTGAGAAAACACTGTCTTGACAGTGTTTTGTTGAGATATTTGAGCATAATATTGTCAAATAGCGGTATAGACATGTAAAGAAATTCAAATAACTAAAGATTAACTAGATCAGTAACTTCTATAAGGAAATGGATGTCTTTCTCTCCATTATGAATTAACTTGAAATATTATTTTTTACAACTCTTAAAGCTACACTCAGATGTGTGCATAATGTAAAGCAGTTGTTTATCTGAAAAAACACCAAAACCTGGGAAGTTTGGGGCTATGGCATGTCTGGGTTACTAGATACAAAAATTCAAGCGGAAAGAATATTTCCGTTTGTTTATCTGTGTCAAAATAAGAAAAATCTTTTTTTTTAGTTTTGCAAATCAAACCACTGATACTTCTATAATATTGCCTTTAACTCACACTTACGTCAGCTTTACCCGGCTGTTGAGAACGCATAAAGTTAAAACAATTTCTATGTGAGACACTGATCTTTCTCCTCATGCCAAGGGAAGTTCTGGGAGTGACAATTAAATGCAGACTTGCAGGTGTTTGATTGGCAAGCCGTCTAAACCAGCAGCTGGTTTGGTGCTTTTGAAATTCTCGATGGTCCACATGCATTGAAATGCGAATACAGAAGTGCGTTCAATCTGCATCTTCTCTTCCAGTTATGTGTGATGAGAAGGAGTTTGTTGTACTTGTGTCTTTCTAAAAGCCTCTGCCTTTCCTTTTTTCCTCTTCCAGCACATCTCAGCCACATCTATCAGGGAGACACAGAACAGGCTATTAGTGGTGTAGTCGTAAATCCTCAAAACACACACCTACACACACCTACACATCAACATCCTGTTCACAAAGCATGTTCTCATTGGATACCACATGTAAAAATAGCAAAGAAGGTAGTTATCAGTTCTTATGTGCAAGCACAAAGGTTAGCTATTTTTGGAATTTTGGAACACGTACAAACACAAACACACAAAGCCTTCAATTTTCAATCATCATTGCATGATTTGAAGAGCTTAGTTAACAAGATTGCTTGTTAGTATAACATTAAATGTGAACATTGCCCGTGGTGTCTTTGATTGTATTGCCATCAAGATGTCACTGTCGCACCAAAACACAGTTTATAATCATAAATTATGTTTGACCGCTTCTGTGGAACGAGCTCTTTCTGGGATGAAGTCTATGCAGCTGTACATCATATTTGTAACAACTCAGAGGTCCTGACATGCATTGGATTAACAGAAGAAAATAATTTTAGTTGTTGGATCTGAATGGTGGCCAATTGAATAATTTATCTAGTTGATCTCTTTTGGATTCTACATATGTTGTTGTTATCACACCAACAATTGCGGTTAAGGCTTTCTCCATAGTACTGAAATGGAGACTGGCAGAACTTGAGAATGGAAACAAAAATCAAGCAAAAGCAGAATACAGAGAGAGTGTGACACAGCTAGAGTGCTGGAAGCAAATGATTTCACTGGGGATTTTTCATTAAGTAATCAATTCATCTTCAACACAAGACGTGTTGCGGAGGCAATACAATACCTCCAGCATGAGTGAGCTTCTCACCCAATCTCTGAGAGAGATGCCAGCCACCCTCCTCAGGAAAACCTTTTCGGCGCCCTGTACCCTCCGATGGTCCCACAAATCCACAAAAAGCATGTTTGAAAGAGGAGTTGTTGTCAAAAGTGTTATTGAAAGGCTAATATTCATACATTTTTCCACGATTGACATGAATAAACCGTAAGATTGGAATGCCCAGTCTAATTCAATTAGTCAACTATTTGGGGTCACTCCAAGAAAGCGTATCTGTTGTTTTTATTCTTTTATGCGTTTAACTCAAAATGCTGAACTGTAGTTAGTTAGATTTTTTCAGATCAGCTCCTATTTGTGACTTTGAGTTACTGGATTAAAAAAGCACTCTTTTCTGACCAGCTGTGTAACCTCTCTTTTTCTTTCCATTTTTCCTACAACTTTTGCGTGTAACATTATTTGGAAAGGAATTGTCTAAAAGCTGCTTCTCATTCTTAAGCTGCAGCATCACCACTCTCTCCTTGCAGCATAAGCAGCAAGAAGCTCCCACCTCAAGCTCTTCTCCCAGCTTTTTTCTACACAACTCTATCTGCAATTTAAAACTCCCTTTGAGCTTCTTCAAATCACATGGAAGTGGGTCGGATGCAGATTCATTCACTCAGTGGATATTTCTCTGCTTTACAAGATTTTTGACTGCACAGGCAGTAAATAAACAATTCACTCGAGCTTACATGACAAAAAAGTCATAGATATAGAACGCACGATATGTCATGCATATAGGTCCCCGTTTTCCCAGCAGCTATTATAAGATCAACAAATGAACAGTTTTCAATCGCAGCAACCTTGAGATGACACAATGAGACAGTTATTATTTGGAGTATTGCTTCTGGATACATTTAGGACCCGTCTTTCCCTTCAGTCAACCTATTGTTTTATACTTTACAATACAGCTTTGTTGCCTAAAAAAATTGGTTGCAAGTAATCAATCATGTTTTGGGGTGAAACCTAAATCTTGACGGCGGATGCCCCTTGTGGGCAGATCATGGTCAAGTGGGTTTTTCATTTTGTTTCAATATAAACAGTTTTAATCGTGTGTTTAAAAACTGTGTTTAAAACTGACTGTAACCCAGAAGAAAATGTGTGGCACTTGAAACGTAATTTAGAATATACTTCATTGTGCATTGTGTGGGTCCATCATTGTGTCGGGGAAAGGCTTCTTCCTTCAGTTAGTGGGCTAAATAAAATACGAATGCAATAAAGCAAACCTCAGGTGTATGGTTTGGTTTGTGAAGTGCTGTAGGTATGAAGTAATGAATTATTCCAGAACTTGTTTTTTTTTTAATTATCCATAATCTTGATCATCAGGACATAATAATCCATCCATCCATCCATTGTCAAACCGCTTATCCTGCACACAGGGTCGCGGGGGGGCTGGAGTCCATCCCAGCCAACTTCGGGCGATAGACAGGGTACATCCTGGATTGGTCGCCAGCCAATCGCAGGGCTACACAGAGACATACAACCATTCACACTCACATTCACACATCTACGGGCAATTTAAAGTCCCCAATCAACCTGCTCCCCAGAGCATGTCTTTAGACTGTGGGAGGAAGCCGGAGAACCCGGAGAGAACCCACGCAGACACGGGGAGAACATGCAGACTCCACACAGAAAGGCCACTGGGCGGAATCGAACCCAGGACCTTCTTGCTGTGAGGCAACAGTGCTAACCACCATGCCACCGTGCCGCCCGGACATAATAATAATAATAAATAATTTAATAATAATTTAAATCCCTGATACAATTTTTTTTAACATAGTATGGTATAGAGTACCAATGAGATGGCCAATGAAGCTGTGAATGTATTGTATAATACCTACTTTTTCAATAACCATTTCAATTCTGACTCAATATCCTCCTTCTTTAGTTCAATAAATACACCTATAATAGAGTTTTAGACTGGAAAAAAGAATGAGAAAATACCAGTATTTTCTAAATTGTACCAATTAACATTGTTATTAACGTTACCTTATTTATAAAAACCTCTAGTAAAACCGAGTCATGAAATTAAAAGGGGGTCTTCCAAGGGGGTTATGTACTGGAGTATTTCCCGGCTGGGAGTGAGGTAGCCAGAAGATATTCCAGAGAGTTACTGCTAGAGGTAGAGAAACAGTGCGGCATCCTGTTCACAGGCGTGTTAAGGGAGCTGGATTGAGCTGCCACTCAACCTTTTTGTTGTCACTCCCTCACAGCCCAAAACTGCTTTTACATGAGTGACACATGGACGTACTACGAAGAACGGGATCAAACCAAAGATTTCAGCCAGTCACTTGACAATTGTTCAAGCCCAAAAGGTTTTGTAGCTACAGTACCAGTTTGTCCAAACCTTTGACTGGTACTGAATGCATAATGCAAATTAGGTAATTGTCACCAGGGGAACATTGTGGTTTCTGTAAATTATTGGTTTGTTATATTTTAGCATGGTTTGGTTTTGCATTTTAGCATGGCTTGTTTTATTACATTTTTACGTATTAATCCACCTTTCAGTAAACTACATGCACCTGGAGGGACTAATCAATTACAGAGAGCCCTGGCCAACCGCATTACACAATGAAAGGACCTCCCCTCTCTAATTAACACAGCTGCTATAAAGGACACTAAGCACGGCATGAGAGGGGAAGGAGAAGCCACAGTGAAATCAAGCGAAAGGACGGCAAGACAGCGGACGAGCAGGCGGGGTGCAAAGCACCGTCTCCACCCCTCCATCCACCCGCCCCGACGCCAAACGTTTGACTGCTATGGCGGCAAATCACCAGCCGGTCTGCGAGCTTTGGTCTTAATGTGCCGGTAATGATTGTAAATGATGGCTGTAGCTGGTTGTCATCTACGCTCCACTACTACATAAAGGTGTCGTTTGTGTTTTGACAACATTTTATCTCAGAATTTTGACTTTCTATCCCCTTTCTTTAATGCGGAAATTGGCTTCTATAGTTGTGTGAATGCATCGCTCCAGCCAATCCAAAGACGCGGTTTGTAATCAGGCGTAGAGACCATGGTGATTGGCTCCGCCTCTTTACTGTCTGAAAGAACAACAGTGAGCACGTAGAAAACACCTTCGAGCGCGAGCAGAGATTCTCCTCGCGAGCAACGAAGTTCACGTTTCGCAAGCGAGCAAATACCTCGATCGAGATGGACTTTTGCTGGCGGATGTTTGATTTACGCGTGCGCATCAACCTAATTTTTGACAGTGATTTGCGCTGATAGACTGCAGTATCTTATGCGCCTTATTGTGCGGAAAACACAGCACATGAGCTCCGGAGAAAATGGTATACAAAACATACATTGTCGGTTAATACAATTATTTAATTCTTAAGGTCATTTAATCATCCCTAGTTTATGTTTTGATCAGAGTTGTGATTAAAGGTTTGGGTGGGCTGCAAAAGATTTTCAGATTTCAAAGTGGGCCGCGGCATTCTTGAGTTTGGGAACTGCTGGTCTAGAATAACTAGACCCCACATAAGAGACTTCTTCTTTTCACTGTTGCTGATAGCAACACTGAACTTACATATGTCTATAGGCCTACTGTGTACGTGTAGAAGTGTCGGCTAGCTTGAGCAGATGTTGTTGTGATGTGGAAAGAGTGACGAGTCAGATTTATAGGCCTCTTTCACTAGAACATCCAGCACACCCAGCCAGTAAATGTGGAGGCTTTGTCTTTAAATATTAGCCAATATACAGCAACACACAAAAAACTTTGCAAAAGGGGCACCTGTCTTTTTTTCCCACCACTTGTATAACCCACACCATTTATTGATTTTTTTGCACTTTCTGTCACCTTCCCAAATCCAATTATCTATATCCATTTAACTAGCCCGAATGGTTGCAATAGGAAGTGCAGTTTACATATTTACATAAATGGCAGGATTACGATCTAATCCGATGCGGAAACAATTCCTGCAAAACCTGAAAAACCTTGAGGAACGGGTATCTAATTGATCCTTGATTCAGTGATATTAGCCCTGCACACAGGGTTGCGGGGGGGCTGGAGTCTATCCCAGCCAACTTCGGGCGAGAGGCGGGGTTCACCCTGGACTGGTCGCCAGCCAATCGCAGGGCTAACACAGAGACAAACGACCATTCACATTCACACACCTACGGGCAATTTAGAGTCCCGAATTAACCTGATCCCCAGAGCATAACTTTCCTAACAGGGGAGTGAAAGCT